CCCCCCCCCCCCCCCTCTTCCCCCTTCTCCTAAGACACACAGTAACAACAAAAAAACAAAAGAAAAAGAAAAGGAAAAAAATTTCTGCTCTACATATTTTCGTGGGAGAACTGGCTTCTTATATACATACTTTCTTCCAACTTATTTACATAATTGGATATATTTCTTTTGCCCAGAAGTATTTGCCTTCGAAATTTTTTTGTTATTGTGTCATTGCGTCTTTTCAATCTTATTGTAGTCACTTTTAATCATGTTAAAATCTATTTCAGGATCCTTGTGTTGCTGTATGGTTCTTTTGCTTTCAGTTTTGTATTTATATTTTTTCCTTATTATATGTTTTTGCACCTTAGTGGTGTTTTACTTCTGTGCATTCAGTTTTGCCATTACTTTTCTTTAATTTAACCACCCAGATGGGTAGTCGCCTTGCTCATAGTTTAGCTAAGGGCATGTCAATATAAGCCTGAGTATAGCTAATCTATAAACTGCTAGTTGCTTATTTGTGTTCCTGTTACTCTGAAAATTTAGGTTTGCTTGAAATCTGATGTATAGTTTTGTATCTGTTGTTTCAGTAATCAGGCTATTCCTCAGCCAGACAGCTACTTGGCTGAGCGTCCGCGAGAAAGATACTGTGATGAAGTAATTCATGCTTACTCTTTCATTTAGATGGTTGCTTTTACTTGTAGGTAGATTGTTTATGCTTTTGTTTTCTTTGATTAAACGATTAGGGAGAACTATTGTGGACATGGCATTGTATTGTTTAGCTCCACTAGATCACCTATGTTGTATTGGGGGGTGACAATAGTCGAGCCACCGTAGTTTGACTATCGGTTAGGTTTTGTTCTTTTGTTTCCAGTGGTAATAGCCCTGCTCAAAAAAAAAAAGAGAAGACATGATTCTAATAGTCAACCAAAAAGTGTGCAAATATTTCATTCCATGTTGCGTTTTCTATTCTTGGCAGTGTTATTCTCTACACAAAAGAAATGCACCGTATTATATGTTTTGATTCTGTATTCTCCCATTTGTGTGCTTAACTTCTTCGGTTCTTCTTATGCTTATTTATTGTCCTATATATATGTTGTGGCTGATTTGATTTTCACAAAGTTCTTCCCAGTGTGCATGTTATCCGAATTTATGGAGTTTCTAGTTTATATTACATTTACATGGGTATTTCATCAGTATGCTAATGTGAGAATTTTTACTGGGGCACCAGGGGTCGTGTAAGATGGGATGAGGCTAATCTGGGCGAAATTGAAGCAAATAAACCAGAGAGGCAGAAAATTACTGAACCGAAGACACCATACTACCCTATAATTCCTGATGATGGTATGCTGATTTACTTTCTTTTATGTGCATGCATGTCCATCTTCACTGTATGTTTTTGGTTGCCTTCTAAATTATAAAATGGGCCCTTGAAGTTCCGTAGTACCTGGATCCTATATTGTTCACATGTTTTCTGAGGATTTGCCTTTTTTGCGAGCTGGAGTTTGTTAGAAAAGACTTATTTCATTCAACAATTCATATAAATTTTCTCCTCCCTACGATGAGTTTGTTTTCATTTGTTTTTGGAATCAGGCCATGAGTTTGCTTTCATATCTTGGATGTTTATGTGCACACTTAAATGATTTGTAATGATCTTCAGCTATCATACTTTATTCAACTCCATTAGATTCTTGCTCCCCTGTGAAGTCACTTAGGAGTGACAACAATGCAAACATGGGCTACATGAGAAGAGACCCATGTGGCCGTAGTTCTGAATAACGGTGACCGTCACCGTAATGGTAACGGTAACAGTAACGGATGCGGGATGAAATTGGTGTTACGTAACAGTAACGGAAACTGGGAACGTGAATTTTTTATTTTCAATCACACTTCTCCCAAAAAGCAAATTTATGTATTTTTAACTCCAAGCTTATGTAAATATAGGGCATTTGTGATATGTTATATTCCACATTTTATTGTATCATAAATAATGTTTTATGAATTTATCTTTTAATCATTGTATGATAAAAGATTTCTAGTGACTTTTAATTGAATGCAATCCACTTAAATACTTTTGGGAGAATTTAGAAATCATAAATTTTATCTAGAATATTTTTTTTTATTATGGTTATACATTCCTAAAAGATGGAAAAATATTAACAAAATACAAACAAAAAATCTGTTAATTTTACTGGGCCCAAACTAGACCCATTTTCTACATTTGGGTTAACTTATATCTCTTGGTTTCACAACAAGGGGCAACTTGTCTTTTCACACATAATAACCAAGCCCTAATACTAATCTCTTCTACCTCCTTTTCTCCGCCGTCCATCTACAGAGGAGTACCAGCAGGTCCAGCATAACAGACCCCCTCGAAGTTCAGAAACTGATGCTTTTAAAGAGGAACCAGGTCTACACATTTCTTGTCTTAATCTCTATTCTTCACCTTTCATATATTTTCTAGTTTTCTGGTAACAAAAGCAAGGCTTGTTGCTGTGTAACTGCTGTTACCGCTGAATAACGGGATGTAACACTGCCGTAACACCCGTTACACCCCGATACGCTGCCGTAACGCCCGTTATGAGTGTGAATTTTTCTGGCCGTCAAATCGGAGTGTAGTGGTATCGTCGACTGCCGCTACTGTTATGTAACGGCCGATTTTCCGAACCATGCACGTGGCTTTACCTGATGTGTGTGTGTGGCCTGTGCACTCCCTTGAGAAAAAAGGGAAGGGGGGGAGGGGGATCTATTTAGAAGATCATATGCTTTATCACAATTTGACTAATGAAATGATTCTATACATATTCTCGTGTCTGCTGAGAGGGATGATCTAAAGTGGTTATAGGATGACATGATCTAAAATTGAACTGTTACTGTTAGAAATAAGTCTAGATTCACCCACTCTTTTACATAGGACTTTCGCAATCTTTTGGAAAACATAGCTGGGTTATACATGGATTTAGTGGAGGACAAGATCTAACACTTTCCCACATGTGGAATCCCCACCTGCATGCGGAGAGATAAACAGAAGTATCAAAGGGCAAATTCTTAGTCATAAACGAACTTGTGGCATGAACAAAAGGAGAATCAATTGTAAAATCGATGAAATTGAGTTTTGCTTGAATCTTTCTAAAGCCCAACTCTAATACCATGTCATTCTGTGAAATTCAAAACCAATTGGTTATGAGTGTGAGAGGCACGCAAGACTCGCATTCTAATTTGGATGGTGTTATTTTATTGATGTGGGTCAAGATCTAACACACAAAGTGCTAAGAGTTGGATCAATGGGAAAATTAGTCAGTCTTGTGCTATCAAGTTGCAAGCATGTGTAATGCTTTGCATGATCACCTTTGCTGCTATTTGGGACCAATCTATGCTTGACACTCTCATATTGCATGAACTTGTACCCTCCTAAGTAGTTTTACTTACCAATGAAAATAAGCAAATTAAGAAAGAAAAAAAAGGTGGAATGGAGTATTGTACAATATAGGAGAGTGGAAAATAAGAGTCTTTATTGTATGTCAGTTTACTGGGTTAAGTATTTGCATTATAATCTTGAATACTGTTGTTGTTCTTTGTTCCCTTGCTGTGCTGGGCACTGAAACGTCTCATGAAATAGGCTGATTAGGGGTCAGATATAAAGACCTCTGGTTTGTTAAAGGCCCACTCTCATAGCTCCTATATTGCTATATATATCATCTGTATTGCATTGATTACTGTAGGATCACTGTCTCCTATAAGAGATAGTTTCGAATATGGCACCAGCGATGCCATGCACACAGAAGCCATACTTTCTGCGCTGAAGAATGTTGCTTCCTCTAGTAGAGGTAACTCACACCATTCTGGCTGGACGACATCTGAAGACGAGGCAGATGATATAAATCAAGATGATGAAGGTTCATTACTAATCCCTTCTTGATTAGTTGTATTTACACATTAGTTAGGTGTTTTTGTCTGATATCCCTTTGTATGGGGCTTGTATTGTCATTTATTGTTTCACGTCATCTAACTGTTGTACATGTAATTGCATCATGCTTTTCAGATAAATCTTATCCCGTTATTTTGTTCGATCAGTTGAACAATTACAATGTTGATGATACTTGGGTGGGAATTTTTCCTGTTAGACTTCCTAGAGTATTTAAGGGCTGCACAGAGGATGGGCTTGCCGCTAGCTAATTTGACCTTCACGATGTGTCTTCAGTAAAGGCATCAGAAATTGGAGATTGTGCGATTTTTAATGATCGCGCTTTTGATTACTAGTCATATGTTGTTGAAACTTTTAGCCTTGCGTCTATACATATCTTATAACACCCATTGCAAGCAAGTACAAAGCTTGAAAATCTTTCATGGGGGCCCAACATGTATTCCAAATTTTCTTATTAAGGCTTACACCGAATTTTTAACTGAGTGTTTTTTTTGTACATTTCAAAACTTTGGGGGCCTATGGCCACCCAACACCCTTCTGTTGCTTCGTTTGCCTCGTCATCTGGGATGTCACACAGTAACTGTATTATGTTTTTTATTTCTTGCTTTGCTTTTTTGCTCTACTGTAGAAAACAACAACGTGCTATTATTTTGTTAGGTCCCCCAATTCCCACACATGATTCATTGGTATTTTTGTCAGATTCTGGTAGCGATAGAAGCAGGAGTTTCAAGGAGCAGAGGCGAGTCCACTATGATGAGTTTCAGAAAGTGAAAGAACTCCGACGAAAGGGATCCTTACTTGAAGATGCATCTGATGAGGATGTTGTTGGTGAGAAAAATAGTGGTAGATCTGACCCATCATCATCTTTAACTACCGGTGTAAAAGAGATGGACATTGAAGAAGGTGGCGGCGCAACTGACCCTCAACAAACTTCAGGCCTGGCTGATGGAATATAGAGGAGGAGGTTAAAACACCACCTTGAATTGATGAATTCTATCATATCAGTTACTGTTTTATCACTATTCTGAAAAACAATTCAACCTCTCTGATCCGTCGCCTTTGCCCCCGGCGACCCTCTTGATTGTAAATAGGCATTTCAAAGAATTATTCTGTTCGTGTTGCATTCTTATACCTAAATGAGAGCCAACTTGATATATTCTTAACAACAATGATATATGGAAGCTTGAGGTTATATCTTCTTCTTTCTGCTCAAGGTCCAACCAACCCTTTGGAGTAGTCCATTGATTTAGGTGTCGTTCAAGGTGTATCGTTTAGCCTTTATAAGTGATGTTCCTGCTTATGACCATCCTTCATGAATATTTTAGGTCAATGAAAAATTTATTTTTTATAAATATTTTTGATAGAAATAACTGTTTTTTTTGACCGGACCGAAAAAAAATCAGTCAAGGTACACGTACGTCTGGATATTCTTGATTATTGAACGAAAAAAAAATGTAAGTTAACTTCTGTCTTGTGTCAATGGTTTAGAGTTTACCCATTCATTAATGTCTCTTAATACTAGATTATCTATCATGAATTCAATGAAATTTATTATGCATGAATCTTATATAAACGAATCGTGTTGTGTTGTGAATATTTTAAAAAATATTATAATTCTCTAATTTTGTGTCATTGGCTTTTTGTTAACAAGTCCTATACTTTTTGGAATATGGATTCTCCCTAATGAGAACAGATTTAAAACCACATAAACCAACCCAAATCCACAATTGTATATACTGGCAATCTGGATAAGGCTCATATATCCAAGACCAGACGAAAAGGCAAAGAGAAAAACACAGTGATCTCAATGGAGTCATCCAACACTCCGATGTTAACGCTAGCCACCCAAATATGCAACCAGATAAGCTCCGTCTTCGCCAAACCCACCTCAACCCCACCAGCGCTAGACATCATGGTCGAAGAAATTGCCGCCGCGTCTCACCGGAAAGGTAAAGTCTTCGTCTACGGCGTTGGCCGCGAGGGCCTAATGCTAAAAGCCTTTTGCATGAGACTATTCCATCTGGGCCTCTCTGCTCACTGCGTCTTCGACATGACAACGCCACCAATCTCCCCCACCGACCTCCTCATCGCCTCCGCTGGCCCTGGTGGGTTCTCCACCGTCGAGGCCATATGTGGGGTGGCGCGATCCGAAGGTGCTCGTGTGCTGTTGTTGACGGCTCAGCCGGAGACTGGATCGGCGGTGAAGTATGCGAGTGTGGTGGGTTGTATTCAGGCGCAGACTATGGCGAATGATGGTGGTGATGGGATGGGAATGGGAGGATCTAGGCCGTTGCTTCCGATGGGGAGTGTATATGAAGGTGCCATGTTTGTATTGTTTGAGATGGTGGTGTACAAACTGGCTGAGGTTTTGGGTCAAAGCCCTGAAGCCGTCCGAGCTCGCCATACCAACCTTGAATGAAATTGGCGCGGGAGAGAGAAATAGTGTTAAAGGCCATAAGTAACCATCTGTTACTCCGAATGAACTCGAACCGTATCGCAATTCCTGGAGCCAACACGAAGTGGGGAAGAGGTGTTTGTAAAAAGTTCTCAATCAAGAAAATAAGAAGAGTATAATTTCGGTGGTGGCTGTCTACGCTCTTTTTCTAGTTAGCAATGTGATTTTTGTTGAAAACCTATATATATATATATATATAATTTTAGCTTAATTGTTATATATATTTTTGTTATTGTAAACTGATGGTGTATTCTGCTCTATTGAGTAAAGGTAAATGGATCGGAGATCTATTGATGGAGATTACCGAGTATTCAGTCAGAGCTTTTTGGCTCTTGGCAATTGAACAATTAATTCAGGGATAATAATTGTGAGTAGAATTTAATAGACAGGAGGTTTATAGTGATTCATCAGTATGGTTAGTCCATTTTAATAGAGTTTCTTGCTCATGAGAGAATTCTTTATCACTTGGGAAAGAAGGTTATAGAATTACAAAGTGTCAATATATGGATGTTTGATGTCCTTTAATGTGAGGGATTTGATCTCTCTTTATAGTGTATAGTTGCCTTGTGTAATCTCTACGATCCTCCCGTAATCAACACTATCTTTGCATAATTCACGTGATTTTTTTGGGGTTGTTACGACCCATGTGACAGAATATTTGGTCATTAAAGAATGAGCAATGCTATTGTGACATAATTTATAGACATAATTTGAAGACATAATGAGTTGTCACCAATGAAATGATAATGAATTCATTTAATGCTATAATGAGACTCATTATTAAATACAATTCACTATCATTTCATTGGTAACAATTTATTATGCCCCAAAATTATGTCCATAAATTATGTCCCAATAACATTAGTGTTAAATGATACATTCTATAGATGTGACATAACTCTCTTGAGGGTGTGAATTGTCATTGTAGTGGTGCACATGAGGGTCACATTGGTGATGATTCTCGACCTACGCCTCCCAAACTAGGAATCTTGAGCTAAGGTGTTTGAGGTATGAGATCTGACCAAAAACGTCTGAGATGAGGTGTCTGAACTGAGGTGACCACCTGGGATTGAGCGATTGGCTCGTTCTCTCGAGTTTAGTTGTCTTGACTGGAACCCTGATTCTAATAATATATCATGGGCACTTATTGAGGGTAAACCCTCAATCTGTTACTAGGTCGAGTTTAGCTTTGTCTAATTTTTAGTATAATCAGTTATCCCTACACAAGTAAGCCTTGCCTGATGTGGATTGGAAATAACCTACGCTACTGGTTGTGGATAAGCTTGGCTTGTTTTTTTTTTTAAANGTATGCGAGTGTGGTGGGTTGTATTCAGGCGCAGACTATGGCGAATGATGGTGGTGATGGGATGGGAATGGGAGGATCTAGGCCGTTGCTTCCGATGGGGAGTGTATATGAAGGTGCCATGTTTGTATTGTTTGAGATGGTGGTGTACAAACTGGCTGAGGTTTTGGGTCAAAGCCCTGAAGCCGTCCGAGCTCGCCATACCAACCTTGAATGAAATTGGCGCGGGAGAGAGAAATAGTGTTAAAGGCCATAAGTAACCATCTGTTACTCCGAATGAACTCGAACCGTATCGCAATTCCTGGAGCCAACACGAAGTGGGGAAGAGGTGTTTGTAAAAAGTTCTCAATCAAGAAAATAAGAAGAGTATAATTTCGGTGGTGGCTGTCTACGCTCTTTTTCTAGTTAGCAATGTGATTTTTGTTGAAAACCTATATATATATATATATATAATTTTAGCTTAATTGTTATATATATTTTTGTTATTGTAAACTGATGGTGTATTCTGCTCTATTGAGTAAAGGTAAATGGATCGGAGATCTATTGATGGAGATTACCGAGTATTCAGTCAGAGCTTTTTGGCTCTTGGCAATTGAACAATTAATTCAGGGATAATAATTGTGAGTAGAATTTAATAGACAGGAGGTTTATAGTGATTCATCAGTATGGTTAGTCCATTTTAATAGAGTTTCTTGCTCATGAGAGAATTCTTTATCACTTGGGAAAGAAGGTTATAGAATTACAAAGTGTCAATATATGGATGTTTGATGTCCTTTAATGTGAGGGATTTGATCTCTCTTTATAGTGTATAGTTGCCTTGTGTAATCTCTACGATCCTCCCGTAATCAACACTATCTTTGCATAATTCACGTGATTTTTTTGGGGTTGTTACGACCCATGTGACAGAATATTTGGTCATTAAAGAATGAGCAATGCTATTGTGACATAATTTATAGACATAATTTGAAGACATAATGAGTTGTCACCAATGAAATGATAATGAATTCATTTAATGCTATAATGAGACTCATTATTAAATACAATTCACTATCATTTCATTGGTAACAATTTATTATGCCCCAAAATTATGTCCATAAATTATGTCCCAATAACATTAGTGTTAAATGATACATTCTATAGATGTGACATAACTCTCTTGAGGGTGTGAATTGTCATTGTAGTGGTGCACATGAGGGTCACATTGGTGATGATTCTCGACCTACGCCTCCCAAACTAGGAATCTTGAGCTAAGGTGTTTGAGGTATGAGATCTGACCAAAAACGTCTGAGATGAGGTGTCTGAACTGAGGTGACCACCTGGGATTGAGCGATTGGCTCGTTCTCTCGAGTTTAGTTGTCTTGACTGGAACCCTGATTCTAATAATATATCATGGGCACTTATTGAGGGTAAACCCTCAATCTGTTACTAGGTCGAGTTTAGCTTTGTCTAATTTTTAGTATAATCAGTTATCCCTACACAAGTAAGCCTTGCCTGATGTGGATTGGAAATAACCTACGCTACTGGTTGTGGATAAGCTTGGCTTGTTTTTTTTTTTAAACTTGGAAGGTGCACTATGGGATGTTTCTCAGGATTTTCAGCGGTGCACACATGCATAGAATCATTTTTGCCTTGATAATCACGCATGTTCGGCGTTGTTGTGCCACATGTCCAATCCATACGTACGCCTTAAATGCTTCCACAAACAAAATCGCCAAAAAATTCCCTAATTTCAATTTTTTGCCTTTTCAGATTTCTTCTTACTTTACCCATAAACTTTTTTGTTTCTGCTTCTTGCGATTTCATCTTCTTCCTTTCTTCTCATGCGGCTCAAGCTGCCTCAGAGAGTTACCAAGTCACTTGGAGGTCTTCTAAAGCTCGTTCTACTATTTTCCAGAGTTTTTCTTGGGTTTTCAATCGTCGATCGTCCTCGATTTCTAGGTATGCCCTCTAACTTGTTCCTTTTGATGCTTTTATCTCCTAGGGTTTCTTGTTCAACCCTAGATCCTCTGAATTCAAGGTGGTTATTCCATTTTTTTGATATTTCGTTTCCCTTATTTTAAGAGATTAGGTCTTTCTTTGTCATTTCTTCCTTCTTCTGTTATTTTAAGGTTTTCCTATTTGGGTGCTGGTGTCTAGATCCTCGAACAATTGAGGATTTCTCTCTGAACGTTCCTTCTCATTACTCTAGCTTTGGGTATTTCATTCCTCGTGTCTTCTTGTTTACTTCTTTTGAGGATATAGGGTCTTTTGTTTCCCTTGTTAGGGTTGATATATCTCCCTAGGATAGATTTTGTTGTCAGAGTCAGACTGGTTATGATGATGAGAATGATCTACCGAGCTCTTCCGAGATGAGTAAAAAGTTGTTTTGTCTGACCCTAATGAGGTCGATGACCTTGGAGATGTAAGCGATGAAATAGATAACTTTCATGAGGTTGACGTGGTTGAAACCTAGGGTGTTAGTGCTAGGGATCCATTGCTCTGTCTTGGTTCAACCATGAGGCCTAAGAGGTCTCAAAAAAGACGGGCCAAAAATATGGTCGGAACCTCGAGTACGATAGGGGAGTATAAGGTTAGTTTGGGCACCTCTAACGCCTCGGGACCCAGTAGAGTTACCCTTTTTTCGCTTGACGCATTCTCTGTCACGTTGGGCTTCCCTAGGAACGTGCGCGTCTGGTGTCCCAATGTGGACAACCGGTATGACACCGTGCTTCCTGGGAAGACATGCTTCTTCTTTGCCGTCTTTAAGAACGACTTTAGGTTTCCTATGCACTCTTTCTTGAAGTCTGTACTCTAGCATTTTAATGTTTGTCCTGCTCAACTCTTTTCCAACTTCTAGGGTATCCTAGCAGGCTTTACAATTTTCTTCAAGGAAAATGACCTTGCTGGTTTTCCCTCAATTTGTTTAGTTATGTATTTCTTCAATGTCAAATTCCCTCATGCTAATGGTTTTCTTTACATCTTAAAACGGGTGAAGACCCAACTTTTGATTACTAACTTGCCGACCTCCCTCAAAGATTGGAAATATAGCTTCTTCTTTGTGTCTGACAAGGAATGAGAGTTGAATACGAGGGATGTCTTAGATACGCTTCCAATCCCTCAGGCTTAGTCATACCTAGATAATTTGGGTGAGTCCGTGCTAAGGTTCCTTAGTTGATCTCTTCTTATTTTATTTTTTTTAAATGCTAATGCCTTCCTTTATTGTTTCAGGTATTTGCCTCGAACTTGGCGCCAACAAGAAGCTTCTCCTTAAAGACCATAGGGATTGCCCTTATGAGAAATACGCTAGGCTCCTCATGCCCTCGATTCTAGCTAAGCACAACTTTGGACCATTGGAGACAAGGGGTGAAACTGATGTACCTTTATGCTCATGGAAGAGAAGATTTGATGCAGTTCCATCTGATTCTTGTATGTGTTGTGATAGTCCATGGAATCATTTGCTAGTCAAATGTTTCGATTTGGAGCATTTTGAATTTTTGGGGGAGAGAAAAGTTTAGCACCTTGGGGGTGAATGACGATTTTGTTTGCTGAACCAGAGCATCTATGGTCATCAGGGTTTTGGTTTTTATTGTTGCCTTCATGTGACTTAGCTTTTGCTGGATCTTTCTGAAATGTTGTTCCTAGAACTTATCCCTCCCATTTTGTTAGAGAGGATCCGGGATACGCTCGTTTTTGTGGACTCCTCGAATTTGACTCTAGACCTCCTTTTCCTCCCCATTTCCCGAGCCTTGTGATGAACGTTATCAGCTGAGTGACTGATATCATTTCTTTTGTAATTTCTTTCAAATAATTTTGACGATGATGTTCCATTTGTAGGGGATCATCCTGGGCTGGTTGTGCCCCCTGGGGATTCTAAGCACAAATGAGATTTATTAGATCCTCATTTTGCTAGAAGAAGCGCTCATTGGCTTAATTCAGTGCTTCAAATTTGTTGTTTGGAGGAGATTTGCCATTGACAGATTGTCTTTTGGTTTCGACGGATGATTTATTGGAATTATTTATTGTCCCATGGCAGTGGCTTTCTGCTTGTTTTGCAAACGTAGTGAATTTGCCTATTTTTGCTCATATTGCACGTAGAGAGCATCAATTACTGAAAATCAATAGAATTTTAGTAAGAATCGAAATAGCATTTCTCACAGACGACGTCAAACTAATGGTGTATTCTGCACAATCAAATAGAGGTAAATGAATTGGGGATCTATTGATGGGGATTACTGGAGCATCCAATCAAAGCTTTTTGACTCTTGGCGGTTGAACAATCAATTCAGGAATAATAGTTGTGAATAGAACTTAATAGACAAAAGGTTTATAGTAGTTCACCAGCTCATAAACTTGGTTAATCCACTTTAATGGAGTTTCTTGCTCCTAGGGGAATTCTCTATTACTTGAGAAAGAATGTTACACAATAATAGAGTGTCAATGTATGGATGCTTTATAGTGTCTGTGATCCTCTTCAATGTGAGTTATTTGATCCCTCTTTATAGTGTCTGTGATCCTCTCGTAACCAACGCAATTCTTGCGTAATCCATGTGATCCCTTTGGAATTGTTACGACCCATGTTGTGAAATATTTGTTGTTAGAAGTTACATTCCATAGGTGTAATGTGACCCTCTAGAAGGTGTGTCCCAACCTATGCCTCTCAAACTAGTAGTTTCGAGCTAAGATGTCTAAGGTATGAGGTCCGACCTGGACATCTTAACTGAGGTGACCACCTGGGATAGAGAGGTTGTCTTGTTCACCCGACCTTAGCTGTCTCAACTGGAACCCAAATTATGATAATATATCGTGAGCTCTTATTGAGTGTAAACCCCCGATCTACTAGTGGAATGAGTTTAACCTTGACTAATCTTTAACATCATCATAAACAAATAACATGAAAGAAAACTTGTGTATTGGCATTATTCTATTAAAATTTATGTATTATAGAATTTTGTCACGAAAATAGTCTTTTTTTGGCATTCAGTGAAAGGCTGTGCACATCTTAGATTTTACTGTAACAAAAATCACATTAAACTTTTCTTGTTTAAAAAAGTATGTTGAAATCCCAATTGGGTCCTTGCCTTCTAAACTTAAGAGTCCTATGTCAATCAGAGTTAACTGATTCACATAACTGCAGAAAAGTGAATTTTAAGCAGCCAGCCTAACGTCCAAATTTATAGTTCAATTGTAGAAAACAATCATCTATTTAAAAAATTTAAGTAATTAAAGAGGGCATAGTTTAAATATTCATATTTCAAGACGTCCCTATAATATCATGTTAAACAATCATCTATTCTAAAATATTAAATTATTAAAAAAGTCTATTCAACTATTTTCATACCTTCTAAAGCTTATCAACATATCTCGACCTCACAACTAGATCATTGATACATTTAGGGCCGGCCCAACTATATTAAAAAAAAAAGTGTGAATTTTAGGCTCCAAATTTTTAGATAGTCTATAATTTTAGGTATATAACTAGTCCACATAAGAAATTTAAATCCATAAAAATTTTATGCCTTACAAAAAAGTACCAAAAAATTTAAACCCAATCAAAAAATTATAATTTCAATAATTTGGATATACAATTTAATCCATAACTTTATAAACTCAAAAACCAAAAATTAATAAATAAATAAATAAATATTCCAAAATCAATTAATATTTACACATCCATTCATCCATTCTCTCTCTCTCTCTCTCTCTTAAAAAATAAAAACAAAGTATCACATACTCCTCTTTTACTTAAAAAAAATTAAAAATAATTTTTAATTTTTTAAAAATAATACCAAAAATAAAAAAATCTCATTTAATATTACTTTAAACCTCAAATTATCTTATCTTGAACCATCCCTGGATACCTTATAAATCATGGTTAATCAATTCACACTGATTTTAAGTTTTCATATGACTTAAGGAGCTATCACCGAAAACATTTTGCACTTCTCTCTCTCTCTCTAAACAACAGACCAATCAAGATAATAATTGACTATTAATTGGACTTAATCTGCTATAATTATTCGATTGACAGTAACATTTTATAATATTAAAATCTATTGTTTAATCTTAGAATAAAGGTGGATTAGATTTCCAAATTAATCTAAGGAAATATCAATTGATCCATATAAACAGGCAAATGTACAAACAGTCATTAACAACAAAATATCTCACCTACTAGCTTTCCGGATTTCAATTAACAAAACTAATATGAATCTTTAATAAACTAATATAATCGTGCAAACCCCAGACCGACCCTACTGGGTTCAGATAAAAAGTAAACACAACTTGCTTTGGGACACACCAAACTATTTTTAATCATATAATCTGTTATATATATATATATATATATAATAAAACAAGAGCGTGTTTAAATTTTATCTCAATCATATTTTTCTCCTCAAAACTTTCATCAATCACTTATCTCACCCACTATGAAGCACATATACAGATACAGAATACGGATACGATACAATACGAATACGATAATATGATAAAGTCTAAAAAAATAAGATATGAGTACGGTCAAGATACGACTATAATAAAATATATTTATTATTTTTATTATTTTCAATCAGCTTAATATTTATATATTTTGGTAGTTCTTTAATATAGAATAAGAAAAATTAATAATTTTTTTAGTTTCAAGAAAATATATATCTTATCACTGTAGTATATTCATAAAGTGAAGTGACTAATTAAAGAAATCAAAACTAATATTTATCCAGTATTTAGAAGTAATTTTTACTAAGATAATAATGTAATAATTTTATTTTGTGCTCTTTTGACATATAATTGTAAATAATACTTAAAAAACACTCGTGTGTTTTTGGAGTAATATGAATTTTTTTTAATGTATTGTATGATATGTGAATTTGAAAAGAGATGTTAAAAGTTCAACTCAAAAATTATATATGTTACTCGACCACAAAAGTATCTGTGAAATATCATAATATTTCATTATTATAGGATACGTAGAAGATGTATCCGATACATATTCTCCAATATCCGACGAATATCGTATCCGATACGATATTGGATACAGGTATGTCAACCTCAACGAAATATCCGTACTTCATAGCTTATCCATCATCTATTTGTCAGACTCAAACGTCAAATTACATCACTCATTTCTATCACATGTTTAATCATTTATATATTTACTTGCTAAAAATATCACATCACGCATTTTCTATCATATATTTAATCGTATAATATTTGATTAATTTATAGTTAATATATTTTTAAAAAATTTAATATAATAATATGAATTTTTCGAACGCTTAAATTTTATATTTTATCGTCCATTACACAGTCAAGAACCCACTTGGTGTGTGCTTTATAGGGAATCTCCCTTTTTACCAAAACACTAGAAATGGCACAATACAAATATACAATAATGCCCCAACAAAACAGTCAGAAAAAATCCAATTCCGAAAATCCACCCCCAAAAAAAAACAAAAAAACAAAACCTCAATAGTGGAAGAATCTTTCTCAGTTGGAAGGTGTAGTCTGAGTGACGGGGACACCACGGCGGTCTCTCCCTTTCTTATCATCCTTTTTGTTTTGCAACTGTGGGACCACCTGTGGAGACCAATATATCCCCCTCTTAAATATGAGTTAGTTAACATAAAACAATCATCTCATTAAGACTAATTAGATAATTGTCCAACCAAAAGATATATGATGAACCTACAAGAGTTATACAAGCATCTAATCATGTGGTATGATTTTTGGTTCAACAGTAAAAAAATGTCCGGCTCAGTGAATACACACCTCCACTAATATTTTTGTCTGTCGATCCATTCAAAAACAAACCATCTCGTATTAAAATTAGGATATTCTCAAAAAATTATTAAAATTTGAACATATATATATATAATATGAATAAAATAAATTTCAATAAACTCATCCCGTATTTTTAAATAAATTCATTCGACGATTATTAATATTTTTTTTAAATTATTCACGTTATACTGTATTTTTAGACACGAATTATTTTTATTTTAGATTATAGATATTTGTGATCAGGATGCAACAAACCTGATCTTGTGATGAAATGTACGATTGGGATAAGGGTCGTCTGATCTTCTTGTCCGTCCTGATTCTTGGATCCATAATATCTAGTGCAACAAACATATGGAAAGTTCAAAGTAAAATCGAACAAAAAAGTATTAAGTACGACGTCAATTCAACGTTAGAAGTAAAGATATTGTGCAACAAATATCTTCCAAGCATATTCGGCGTTCCCACATAGAGATTAGGTACTGTTTGGGGCGGCTGGTCAAAACTCTTTTTTTATGCTACCCAGCATGTGTATAAAATGTACAGAAAGTACCAAATGTTAAAGCTTGAACCATTCAACCACGGAAGTAAAAAGAATGTGTACCCAAACACGCCCTAACAAGCTCCGACGTGAGATTTCGGAGAAATTCTATGCGAAATACAAAAAATGGAGACATATATCATCACCTGAGGTGGAAAATCTTCTTCCTCTTTCTTTCGTCAAGTCTAGGGTAGATTCAGAACTGTCCGGCAAAAAACGGTCTAGAGGAAGAAGACGATCATTATTTTCATACATTGTTCGAACAAATGAAGCCTCCATTGAATTCAAGAAATCCACGTGCCTCTCGTTTGTCCAACACCAGCTTCCACCGCCATTCTCCATCGGTTACCGGAAAACTGCCTTTATTGTTGCAGGAAGATTTCAGTAGCCGGTGGTTGTCGCCGGAGAGCCAGGTTGTGGGTCCTGTACTGTGGTACGTAATTTCAATACAATGTGCTGGTGTGTCAGGGTTTTATAGCGTTCTCTGAGTAGTTTTGCTTTCATACACTCGCTCTGTTTGATGGACACGTGCTTTCGATAATTAGCGTGGGCCCAAGTTGGTGAAAATATCTAAGGTACGAGATTTTTTTTAGAGTTTCTGGAAGAGTTGGAAGATATTTTGAGATAATCACAGAGAATCCGTCCTCCCCAATCCAAGAGAATTAAATAAGAAAAATCCACCCGATCAGACACCTCTTTATCCCGAGACTGCGATTGATCGTTATCCTGTTCTGATTTGCCGTCACCGACTTCACCACGTCATCAACTTCATCAATTTACATATGTACCAATAGAGGTGTAAATATGACATATCAACACAAACACGACACTGGAATTCCAAATTTCAGTGTTTTAAAATTCGATCCAGTCTGGCGGGTTGACCCGGTAATCCGATAAATCGGACCCCTAACCGGATCGATTTTTTATAATTGAACTGTTTGAGCAAAAAATCCAGAATAAAACCGGTGAACCGGTCAAAAAACCGGTAACTCATGAAAATTGGCCAGTTTTGTTCCTTTAGTATAAATATGGTTTTTTTTTTACATTTGTGAGTCTTTTTCTTTTCCCCTTCTATTTTGCCCTAAATCCTAAATCATTCGTTCAGTATTTGTTAACTCAAAAATTAAGTGAATGCAATTAAGTGATTCAACTTTGAGGGTGGAGACTGGGCTGTTAATTGAATACATTGATTTGTTAATTGAATGCAATTAAGTGATTCAGGTTTGATAACTTTGTTTGATTTAATATATATTAAACATGTTATTTTTATAACTATTTTAATTTTTTAGTCTATTTATCATCATTAATAATTATTTTTTATTTTTTTTATTATATCACCGATTCGACCAGTAACCCAGTGATTGAACCATAAATTCATTGACCTGGTCCCTTCTCCGGTTTGGTGTCCGGGCCGGGTTTTAAAACTATGCCAAATTTAGACTACTACAGGAATTTAATATGATAAGATTTTAAAATTGATATTTAATGGGTTTGTGAATGGTATTAAAAAAAAAGTAATATCATATCTCCGAAATTTATTATTTTAAAAGTATTTTGAAAATTTTTATAGATTATTTTACAACTAAAATATTTATTATTTTTGTGGATGATTTATTACTTTTTTAGTACAAAAAAATTACTACTTTTGTTGTGCGTTTTTATCATTATTGTGGGTCTTTTTATCATTAATGTGATAATTATTTTTACCACTTTTTTCAATAATAAAAATACTCACAAATATGTTAAATATTAATATGGTACTTAAATTTTATTTTTCAATACTATAGATAACTCCAATTGATAAATACTTATAATAAGTGAGTTGAATTAATATTTGATATTTGATATTTTTTTTTGAGTAATAGCATTACATAAAAATAAGGTACAATTATATTCAAATTCCTTAAAATTTGTCATTTAATCACCTAGATTATCTAACATTTAAATTATTACACATAAGTCCCCTAAAATTTATACGCTTGAAATATATAGATCCTTGTTGTTAATGTTCGTTAGTATATCTGTTAATAAATTACATTCAGATCCTTGAATTTTGAAATATATAATACTTAGACCTTTCAAGTTTAAAATATTACATTTAGACAAAAAAATATTTTGATTAAAAATAGAATATCAAATATAATAAATTTTTAAATCAAAATTCATATTTTATTATGTTATTTATTAAGATAAAATTAAAAATAAAAATTCATTTTTACTTAAAAAAATCATAATTAGTTTTATTGATACCAAAATTTGGATGGCTTGCACGTTAGTTTGCTGGACTTTAATCATATGAAAAAGAAGTCAAATATCGGAGGAGAGCTTTGGGGGTCAACTCTCCGATGCGTAAATCAGTAAATGACTCTAAGTTATAAATTATATTTAGAAGCTAGGAATAACATACTTTGAACATTTTGGACAAAATGAATTTTTAACCTTGGATCAATTTTTTCATCATCAAGTACAAACATATGAAATAATTCTAATCAACACATTTACATATCATCCGTTGACATAAAACCTAAACAAAATTTTAATTTTTTTGAAAAAAAAATTAATAATCAGTATAAATATATCAAAGAACTCAATTCAATACTCATTTGCATACAATTATACTGTCTATTAGAATAAAACTAAAAAATCAAACAAGAAGTCAAATTACAATGAACACAATATCTTTCTATGTTTAATTGGTATAATTTGATTGTTTAATAGATTTTGTTAGTTTCGTAACTAATAAGGATTTTAAATGTAATATTTTAAACTTGAAAAGTCTAAGTGTTACATGCGTACAAATTTTAAGGGGATTGAGTGAAATTTATTAATAAATATACTAACGGACATTAACGACAGAATTATAAATGTCACACATGCACAAATTTCAGAAATTTTTTGTGTGATATTTCAAATGCCAGACAGACGTATAAGTGATTAAACAACAAATTTTAAAAATTTGGACATAATTTGCCCTAAAAATAACAGCAAGTGGCAGACACCAATTAAAACCCCTCTATATAAAATAAAAATGAATTCACCTAAAATAAATATAAATTGAAAGTTATTTAAAATGATTTGGGAATAAATTATAGATTAATGGAAATTAGATACAACTCGGCGTGTTATGGCCTCACAAGAAGTAAGTTATATTTTGTTTAGTTTCAACATTCAACAATACCCCACGCTTCATTAAGGCCAATGCATGGTGTAGAAATAAAGCGACTAAGGATGAGAGTGATCTGACAACTATTAGACTAAGTAAGTGAATGTCACATTCCAAGCAATTTTTTCAGATGTATTTTTTGAATACTAAAGACTCCTAAAACGACATAGTTAACCAGAAGTAAAAAAAAGCAAACGATGGTATTGTCTACTCAATCATGGATGTTCAACTATCACATTGACATAAAAAAAAAAAAAGTAACATTAATGTTTACACAAGATAGTCTTTTGAGAGGAGGAAAAGACACTCGTGCTCACTCTTTCTTTGTTCAACTATCACATTGAAAAAGAGTTTCGGCATGAAAATAACAAAGTTGGTATGGATGTTTGCATAAACATAATTTATATTTCGTGGGCATTTTTATATAGGATAAGGCAGAAGTAAAGCAACATCCTGTGCACCTGAACTTCACATGGATGGGTGTACGAAATTTCTACTCATGGGACATATTTGGATCTAATATTGGGGGACCAGAATGGATATGTGGATGAAAGGGAAAGAGATTCAAAAAGATAAAATGGTGGGAGACCATGACATTTACTTGCATTGTAGAGCGGAGAATTTAAGTACAAATGTAGACAAAATAAAACATATAAGAAAGGAAAATAAAAAGAATTAGACTAAATTGTTTAACTAATACTATGAACTGAAATTTACCAATCATTATTATTCTAATTTTTATTTATACAACATATTCGACATTTAGGGATAAATTGGAGGTCTCCTACTTCAAATTTTAGTCTACTTTTAAGAGTTATTTAAATTTTAAGTGATATGATTTTTTACTATCAAATTAAAAGGACTTAATTGAGTTATCAAACATCACTTTAATTTCTGTCTAATGTTCTCATAACAGTGTTTATATCAATCGATATTCTTTCTTATTCGCAATTTACGCTTCCTTCCTAATTCAAATACCTGAGCTAAGTATTGGTTGATTCCTTTATAACATCCAAGTGCTATCCATACTTATTTCAGAGACCATATCTCCCTTTTTAAGCTAACTTAAGTATTAGGATAATCCCTCAATCTCCTTCTCAAGGTTCTACTTGTACAATATTGATGGGACATTCTTGAGGAGGAACAAGGATCTGACACGTGTCTTTAACATCGAGAAATCTCAAGAAGTCCGATGATAACACGTATCCTCGACACCGAGAATACCTTCAGCCTTCTAGTGATGACACGTGTCCTCGACACTGAGACCCCATGCTCTCTACAGATGACATGTCCTCGACATCAAGGACACCTCTAAATTCTTGTTCATGCGTCCTCTTGCGTGGTTAGATCCTGAGGACTCTTTTGGACACTTCACGTCGGCTCTTGGGGGGATTACTGACAGTTACAGTCTATGAATCTCATAGTTTAAATAGAGAATCTTTAGCTTGTCTTCCTCATGAAGTCAAAATGACAGAGTGAATAGAGCCAGTGACCAAGGGGGGTTAGACGCGTGGCATGACGTACAGAATCAAGGGTAAATTGACAGCAATATCCCTGTTGACATGCAGTCATCCCAGAGGAGCATTTAATAAATCTTCAGAAGGATGTGACATCAATTATGGCTTGAGAGGCTTATGAGAAGGAACATTAAATATTCCAGAGCCCAAACATTAAATGGTTGTGCATTGATGAAAGAACATTAAATGCCTAAGGCCAGGGAGAAAAGACATTAAACGCTCGAAAGACTAAACATTTAATGCCTAAACTTAGTACTTGCAGGATGGAGGGTGCATTATCCAATGATTGAGCACCACCCACTACCTACTAATTAGTAATGATGACCTTCATGAAAGGTATAAATAGCTCTTTAAAACTCAAAGAAAAGGTACGCAAAAAAATCAATTCTCAGCATATACACAATGTTTTTCCTTCTCCTCTCTCATATAAACTGATTTGAGCGTCGGAGGGGATACACCAGAAAATATTTCAGCGCTCCTCTAATCTCCTTTTTGTGCAAGGAACCGCCTATGACTCACTGGAATCAACCACTAAAACAATTTATCACCACTCTTTAGGCCCCATTTAGCCTCCTTTTGCCACGAAATCGTCGACTTTCGAGATAAATAAAAATTCACCAGGGAAGAGATTTGTTTTTATTTACTTATCGTGCAAAAAATATCGCGCACAAATATATACTAAAGTTCTTTTGGTCATGTAACCATTTGACATCATCTCACCATATGCAAGGTAAAGTGACATCTTTTTGGGCCTAACCGTGGCTAAAGCCCATGATTCAGAGGGCCCATAAAGTGTACCAAAACTGAAAAAAAATAAATATAGGGGTCCTTTTATCAATACACTAATTTGAGGGTTCATATTCAATAGACAGTGTCTTCTGAGTTGTTGTCCCCTCTTATCGCTTGACACGTAAAGATCTCAGGGGAAGGTTCTGGAAAAAGACGTAAAGAAACGGTGGCTTCTCGTTCTTCTCTTTCCAAAATTTCATTTTCCTTTTTTTTTAATTTGCCAGAATTTCTTTTGGTTTTCCCTCTCTTATCTGTTGTTCTTTACCACACTTACATGTTTCTTAGGAAACTTCTAGAATTACCAAAACCGCACGGACTCTCCGGCCAAGTGCCAACCCCTTCCCTTTAATCTGTTTCTCTCTCTTCTTTTCCGACCAGATCTGCCTCAACTCCGTCATCTTATCTTGCAAGGTAGTAGTTTTTGTTCCATTGCTTTACGTGCTTTTGTTTTGTCAAGATTTTACGGCAAAGTCTGTTTTTTTTTTTTATTAAGTATGATGATGTGTGGTTTGGATTAGGTGAGAGGTGATGGCTCGGTCACCGGCGGAGCTAAACGGAGGAGAATCAACGGCTGTAGATACGCCGAGATCTCTTCCGACTCCCTTTTTGACCAAAACATACCAGCTCGTCGATGATCATACGATGGACGAGGTGATCTCGTGGAACGAAGACGGATCTACCTTCATCGTCTGGAATCCGACCGAGTTCGCCAGCGATTTGCTTCCAAAATATTTCAAACACAACAATTTCTCAAGCTTCGTTCGACAACTCAACACCTACGTAAGCTTAATCATCGTGATGCTTAAAATTCATTAATTTTGAACGATTCGATCATAAAGTTTTAGATTTTCTATTTGTTTGGAATTTATAGGGATTTAGGAAGGTTGTACCTGATAGATGGGAATTTTCAAACGAATGCTTTCGTAGAGGCCAGAAACGGCTTTTATGCGACATACAGCGTCGGAAAATTGCGACGCCAGCGGCTGCGGCAGCAACGGTGGTGGTGCCAGTGGCTTCGGCGGAACCAGCTCCGCCACCGCGGTCGGCATCTCCGGCGGATTCTGGCGAAGAACAAGTCATGTCATCGAACTCCTCGCCAGCAATTGTACGGGAAACGATATGTGGAAGCACAACCGATCTGAATCTGATCGGAGAAAACGAAAGATTGAGGAAAGAGAACATGCAACTCAACAAAGAGTTGAGCCAAATGAAGAATTTATGCAACAATATTTGCACTTTGATGTCGAACTACGCGAGGAAAGGTAATGAAGAACCGGAGAGTAGTATTCAGGCGGCGAAACCGCTTGATCTTCTGCCGGCTAAGAGATTTTCAGACGAATCTGACGTTACCGCCGATGACAATAATCCGGCGGAACTGGCCGAAACGGGTGCAAGATTGTTCGGTGTGGCCATTGGTTCGAAACGGGGTAGGGAAAGTGAAGCCGTGATGGAGGAGCATGATCAGGTGTTACGGCTGCAGCAGCCTGGAAATGGGGACGTGAAATCAGAGCCGCTAGATCTTCATCAGAACAGTGTAGAGAATCAACAGACACCGTCTGATGGGCAATGCCACCAGCGAAATCGGAGGGTGTGCAATTGATACTTGTTGACGGAATTAGGATTAGGTGTAGGTGTGACCGTACGAGTATAGGCACGTGCTGAAGGGTCACGTGCCTGGGGAAAACTTTGTGGGGGGACTGGTTTCAAGAAGCTTCTTGGAACTTTTTTGCTTTTCTAGCCTTGTGAAAGTAATTATCCTTTTAATTTTCTTTAAATTCGGAATCTGAATATGCCCTATTTTTTGAAATATTTAACTTTGGCGCATCTAGGGTGCAACTTGGGTTGGACACTCAATTCTAGGACCTTAAGTATATAATATAATCTTCAACTCTAACTCTATCTTGTATTAAAAAATTCAACTTGAGTATTGTTCGAGTTTAATTCGGGCGGGTTCGGATTAAATTGGGATTATTTTACAAATTTAATTTGAGTAGAGCTTAAAATATGCTTGTTGTTTTAAACCTATACATATATTACATAATATTTACCTAAATTAACAATCAATAATTTCAATCAAGTTTTTAATAGTGTTAATGTTAAAACAAAAATAAAAATGAACAAAAGATACAGAGAACGATAGAAGAAAAATGAAAAATCAGTGTTAATGTTTTATATATATATATATAATTTTTTTTTAAAATTTGTCGGATTCGAGTTGATCCCGTGAACCTGAGGCTTTAGCTGGAGCCCAATCCAATTTGAATTAGGGTTGGGATTTTTTGACTCAAGTCTAATTTAAGTATTAAAAATTATTGTCTAAATCCTAATTTTTTCGAGTTGAGTTCAAGTTGAAATCGGATTAGATAACCCAAGTTGTACCCTTAGTCACATGCCCAACGTTGACTACAATTCAGTTTTTAGTCTCTAATAGTTATTAAAACGAATTAGTGGTTAAATATTGAATTTTAAGTTTTGATTCATTCAATATGCATGATTTGTGAATAATTGTTTAAATTTGAAATTTATGTTGTGATTATGTTGCTTAAATATTTTTTGTCAGGATGATTCTCTAACCAAAGTGTAATTAAAAAAAAAAGTACCAAGTGTCACAAGATTTGTCTTCTCCATAAGCTTGTCGAAATGAGATATAATGTGATTAATTGACATGAATTGACATAGAATTAATCGAATGTCCATTAAGGGAATTTAAGTGAAATTTTAATGGGTGTAAGTGAGAAATGGACGGACTTGCTAGACTTTTTAATCAATAAGTTGTGTTAATGGCACTAGCGAGCCGGAGGTGGAGGTGGAGGTGGGCAAAGACAATGACTTACAAATTTTCATCGGAGGCTGTTGATGATGGATGGTTTATGGTGATGTGTTCACAAGGTAGAGTGCTTACTTTGGGCTTAATATAAGTCTTGATGATTAGAGCTCTATACTGGCTATTCTATGCATATGAAATAGGGAGGGGAAAGTCGAAAAATAGTATGAGATAGGATAGGAGTAGCAAAAAAGAAAATGACAAGGTGGTCTACACTGAATTACCCCCTTAAATTAAATGTGTCAACTTGTATGTGGTATTTGTACTATATAAATAGACTTTCACTAACCATTTTTGTGCATGTAAACTGATGGGTCAGGTCCAAGGGCCCAATCCATATTATAAGCCCGACTTAAATTAATGATCCAATCTCAAGAGATCTAGCAAAGTTTAACCCAAACGAGGTCCAAGCTAGACAGGCTTATCTGAGAGTTGAACCACCAAGGGAACATCCTAGAACCTATCTCACACGGCCTGGAGAGAGTCAACCTTTCTACATACCTTGATCAAGTCCTTTGAAGTGCATCATAATTTCCTTGCCGGTTGAGGAGAGGAAAGGTCTCCAAGGAGAGGAGAAGTCGTCAAGAGATTCAATTACTATTAAACGACCTCAATTATGACCGTCAGACTAACTATCTAATTACTACGCACAANTTTAAGTATTAAAAATTATTGTCTAAATCCTAATTTTTTCGAGTTGAGTTCAAGTTGAAATCGGATTAGATAACCCAAGTTGTACCCTTAGTCACATGCCCAACGTTGACTACAATTCAGTTTTTAGTCTCTAATAGTTATTAAAACGAATTAGTGGTTAAATATTGAATTTTAAGTTTTGATTCATTCAATATGCATGATTTGTGAATAATTGTTTAAATTTGAAATTTATGTTGTGATTATGTTGCTTAAATATTTTTTGTCAGGATGATTCTCTAACCAAAGTGTAATTAAAAAAAAAAGTACCAAGTGTCACAAGATTTGTCTTCTCCATAAGCTTGTCGAAATGAGATATAATGTGATTAATTGACATGAATTGACATAGAATTAATCGAATGTCCATTAAGGGAATTTAAGTGAAATTTTAATGGGTGTAAGTGAGAAATGGACGGACTTGCTAGACTTTTTAATCAATAAGTTGTGTTAATGGCACTAGCGAGCCGGAGGTGGAGGTGGAGGTGGGCAAAGACAATGACTTACAAATTTTCATCGGAGGCTGTTGATGATGGATGGTTTATGGTGATGTGTTCACAAGGTAGAGTGCTTACTTTGGGCTTAATATAAGTCTTGATGATTAGAGCTCTATACTGGCTATTCTATGCATATGAAATAGGGAGGGGAAAGTCGAAAAATAGTATGAGATAGGATAGGAGTAGCAAAAAAGAAAATGACAAGGTGGTCTACACTGAATTACCCCCTTAAATTAAATGTGTCAACTTGTATGTGGTATTTGTACTATATAAATAGACTTTCACTAACCATTTTTGTGCATGTAAACTGATGGGTCAGGTCCAAGGGCCCAATCCATATTATAAGCCCGACTTAAATTAATGATCCAATCTCAAGAGATCTAGCAAAGTTTAACCCAAACGAGGTCCAAGCTAGACAGGCTTATCTGAGAGTTGAACCACCAAGGGAACATCCTAGAACCTATCTCACACGGCCTGGAGAGAGTCAACCTTTCTACATACCTTGATCAAGTCCTTTGAAGTGCATCATAATTTCCTTGCCGGTTGAGGAGAGGAAAGGTCTCCAAGGAGAGGAGAAGTCGTCAAGAGATTCAATTACTATTAAACGACCTCAATTATGACCGTCAGACTAACTATCTAATTACTACGCACAAAACTATAAATTGTAAGCTCCCCCAACACTTGGGGGGCATCTGAAAAAGAGTCAAGCCCATCTCCTCTCTCTCTTGTAATCCTTGCTCTCCCTACACCCCTGAGTTAATAAAGTTTCTAGCGAACCTAGCCATTGAAAGTGGACATAAGTCTTGTTGACCGAACCACTATAAACCTTGTTTTCTCTTTTCCTCTATTTATTTTATTGCATTTTATACTATTACTTGACTAGTGGTGTACAAACTAATTTATGCATCATCAATTTGATGCCGTTTGTGAGAACGACAGAATTCTCACCTAACCATTTTTCTTTGCTCAATCAAAATCAATCACCACAAGAACCATGAGTCAGCAGGAAGACAATCTACGAGAGGAGGAGGTTGCTCCCCCACCTCCTCCACCTGTTAATCCCGTCTCAAATGCACAACAGATGCTGGTCACGATGCAGCAGCTCATAGCCCAAAATCAGCAGATCTTACAATTGATGCTCGGACAACAATGAGGAGCATGGTCTGGACCTCAAGCCAAGGGAGCTCCACTCCCTGGTCATCAAGGAGCTCCTCACCCAGGCGCCCCTTTGGGTGCCCCACCTTTGGGAATTCCCTTGGGCGTCCTACACAGGGGGCCCCACCGTGAGGGACCTCCTCCTCTAGCACCTGTTCTTGCTCCCCATGGTAGAGACCCTCCTCTCCTAGAGGATGAGGGGGACAACCAAAGCATGGAACACGGGAGCCATGTCCGTGATAATTTCAGAGGACCTCCTCCCAATTAGTGGGACGAAAAAATTAAGGAGGTTCAAAATCAGTTATAGGTGATGTCTTCAACACCATGAAATCGCAAGGCCCCGAGACAGTGGTTACCTCCTAAGTCGAACCGACACACGTTTCAAACCAGACGTGGCGAACTACCCACTTTCTCAAAAATTCAAGATGTCATCCATTGAGACCTTGGACGGTACAAAATATCCTCTAGACCACCTTGAAACTTTTAAAATTATGATGCAACTGCACAACGTCCCCGACGAAATCATGTATAGAGCATTCTCAACCACCTTGAATGGGTACGCTCGGCAATAATTTGTCAAACTCTCCTCAGCCTCTATTGGCACATTTGCTGAACTGAACAGGTCTTTTGTGTCACACTTCATTGCAGGGCGGCGCCACCAGAAGCCTGTCACTCACCTGCTCAGCATAAAACAGGAACGAGATGAGATCCAAAGGAGCTACCTCACTCGTTTTAATGAGGAGGTCCTTCAGGTTGAGGAGCTTGATGATAAGGTCAGCATGACCGCCTTCTTTGGAGGCCTTCGATCGTCAAGCTTCCTTTTCTCGGTGATGAAACGTCCACCGAAGAGCATGTCAGAACTATTAGCGAAGGCTAAAAAATATATGAATGATGAGGATATTACAAGAGCCAAGAGAGGTGAGTCATCCAGAGCTGGGGAAAAAAGAAAGGAAAGAGACAGGGATGACAAGAAGGAGAATAATAACAAGCGCAATAGTCGGAGAAGGTACCTGCCAAAGACCGACTCGGTCCTACTCCCCAGAGAGATCGCCAGGCCTTTATTCCCCTCAATACCGCTGTCGGGCACATCCAATTATAGATCCAGGATGATCCCGCAATAAAGTGGTCTGGGAGGATGAAGTCTCCCCCAAACTGCAGGAACTCAAACAAATATTGTCGCTTTCATTGCGACCATGGCCATGACACCGATGATTGTTATGACCTCAAAAGGCAGATTGAGGAGCTCATCCAACGAGGTCACCTACGCCAATATGTTGCCGGTAGAGGGCAGGCGCCAACACCACCCCGTAATCAGGAAGACCAACAACCCGTCGGGGAGATTCACACCATCTCCGGAGGGCTAGCAAATAAAGTGTTACCTAGATGAAAAATACCAAGTAAAAGAGAAAGCTGCAAATGAACTAACTCAATTTTCCTCTTCGAAGAAAAGCCACTGGACTTCAGGGTAGCACCATCATCTTTGGACATAAGAACTCCAAAGTCTTTTTCAGGATAAGCTCTCACCACCTCCAGCTTCCACTCTTGGCCTGGGGAAAGCACAGGGGGATCTGTAAGAGAAATGATGAAAAAAAAAAAGGAAGATAAAAGAGAGAAAGTAAGTGTGTGGCATACCAAGTTTTTTAGGAACGCTCCATCCACTTGGTATCAAAGTCCTATCCGCCTCTGCAGCCCACTTTCCACCACAAATAAAAAACGAGATTTTCAACTATGACAGTTGGATCACAATCCGGTGAGCAGTTTGTCTTTCGTGGTAAAGTAATAC